ATATATATATTCTATATATATACTCTGTATATATATATATATATATATATATATATATATATATATATATAATTTAATGATATGATATAATTTAAAATGTATATATGTGTAATGATATAATGCATATACAAATATATATACTTATTTTAGGTATTTATACACATTTTTCAAAGTGGTTGAAATTAAGATTTGCACTTATTTCATGAGCATTTGTGTTTGGCCAAATAAAAAAATAAAATAAAAAAAATCATATCTTTTCAGTCTTATCCATAAAGTTTTGTAAACTCTCTATCTTTTATAGATGGTTCGTATTTTCTTCAGCACTCCTCTTCAGAAGACACAGACCAAGACTTCGCTGTTTCTTCCCAACTATTGCCTGAAGTTCATCCTCTTTTCCTCCCTCTGGCTGCACTTTCTCTGAAAGAAAAGAGGAGACCCCAGCCCTTTCATACTGATATGCCAACAACAGAAGACACCTACAGCTGTGGAACACTGAATTCCATTCCCTCACGTTCCAGTGCTTCTGTAAGCATGCTGGGAGTCAGGGAACTCAGCCAATCACGCGATCGTTGCCTCTCTGAGCCTTCAATGTATTTTTCCACACCCCAAACACCTGCACCGACTCATACACCTGTTATCCGCCAATCCAGCTATGATGCGGCTGTAACAGAGAGCAGAAGTGAGCAGTCACGCAGCTCCTTGGGGTTAAGCCCAGAACAACAATCGCACAATTCTGGAATGGGTACAAGGAGACGCCGTTACACTTTCTGGAAGTCGCCGCAAATCCCCACCCGCTTCCGTCATCCTGCGCAGAGATTGGCCAGCATGTCAAGTCTGTCATCTACTGCCACTTCTTCCCTCAGCTCTCTGGATAGTACATTGTCTCTCAGCTCAGCGGATCCCATCCCCAGCCCTCAAGATACGCAGTCCCGGCCTTTTCTGTTTGGAGCTGCTGCGAAACTGCGGCCTCTCACACCTGAAATGTCCAGAAAGCGCTGGACAAGTGCTTTCACTTATGAAGAGGAAGAGAACGTTTGGAGAGAGAAAGTTCAAGAGATAGACAATGAGAAAGAGAGTGAATTTGAAGTATCTTTTCATGACTGTGATGGAGAAAGAGCAGTAATGGATGGAGAAAGAGATGAGAATGAGGATGCCACAAGCTGCGAGTCCTTCTGCGACATTCATGAGGTTAAAGGTTCAGCAAGACCACGCATGCCAGAGTGTCTCTCTGAGACTGTGTGCAGCGTGGAGTTTAGTGTGAATCCATTACAGTCCTCCACCGCATGTCAGATAAAGCCCAATCCTGACATGAATTCACAAGCGATTTCGCTGAATCCATGCAGTATATGGACAGTCCCACGGGTGAATCCAATTGACAATGTGATACAGGAATCCCAGGTCACACAAACGCTCACAAACACACCCGCAACAGCACAAAAGCAATCAAGTAGCAAAGCAGAAAACTCTGCAAGTCAGATACAGCTGGAGTGTCCAAAGGCTCGCTCAAACATTCATGCCTCAGTTGGGCAGAAAGTGAACAGCAGAATGAAAATCACAGTCTTTCCTTCTGCAGGAAGGGTGATGCTAAAACATTCTAAGGTCACGGATCAAACTCAAAGCGTCTCGGTGGAAACAGAGCAGAAAGCTGAGGGGAAAATGCGAGAATCTGTCAAGGTTCAGATCCCACAGACATTGTTTTATGGTCATAATGTTCCACTGGTGTTACTTACTACACCTCCTCAGCAAACGTCAGTCCAGGTGAGGACACATTGTACTCCTCCTGATAATGCGGATATGACAGACGCAGGTTTGAGTGATGAATCTAATGTTAACTTTGTCGCGACTGATATTAGCAATGGTGTAAGCAGTTACTTGGCAGAGAAAAGTCCTACCGTCAAATCGATTAGCCATAGCTTGAGCACTGCTGATGACCTGCGCTGCATTACTGAAACCGTTAGCCCTGCTGTTAGCATTAGCGGAGGTTATAGTGTCAACCCCAGTATAAAAGTCTTTCACAGCGATGCTAATCAGAGCATGGCTTATCCCAAACCCACTAACAAATCCTCAGGAACTTTTCGTCACACAATCTGTATCAAGCTCCCTGTCAACAGAGGGACGGCAAAGAACAAACCATTATCATAACTAGATGTGATGTAATACTATGTGGTGGTGGGGATATGCAACATTTTCAATTTCAATGCAATGTTCAGTAACACTTAAAGCCTTCATGTATAATGCATTATAAAGGTATTCATAATGTGTGTTGTAATGCATTGTGTTTTCATAATTATAATCAAAGTTAAAATGCATATTATAATATTTGAAGGTTTGTTTGTCATGTGTTTTAATGCATTTTACTTTCTAAAGGTGCAGCAATGAATAAGATAAGTGTTACAATGTATTGCAACTGTGGTTACAATTATTCATGAGATCATACAATGCATTATTCATGTATTAAAACTACTTTTATAATGCATTATATATAAAGGCTTTAAGTAAATTGTTAGCCATTTTTCCTAAGAACAAGCTTGGGTATAGAGTCTGCAGCTGGTATGAGCATGTGTGTTTACTTGTAGTAGAGGCCACAGGCATAAAATGAAAATGCATTTCCACAGGGATCTGACTGCGGGGGTGCGCCTATTCAAAGGCATCTTCAGAGACACGTGATGCAGTGGTGTGAATGGAAAACTCATTGTTGGGTTTAGTCCATGTTTGTAATAGAAGAAGAAAAATCTCTGGGCACAAAAAGCTGAAAGAAAGTGTAAAGCAGTGTTGGCGGTATGGGGTGTTTAACTTCAAATAAATAAATATATTTAGAAATGATCCAAGTTCAAATGAACTATAAATACATTAAGATTTACGTTACAAAACTGAAACCAAAATAGACCAAAGCTTAAACCAAAGTAAGCTAATATGATAGCATTTTTAACAATGTAAAGTCAATTTTATATAGAATAAGGCATACAGAATAAGGGTTTTCAACCATTCTCTAAAAATATGTTTTGATGAATGTTGGTGTCTAAACAACACTGGACCCAACTGACTTTCAGTATGTGGACAAAATCAGCTGAAACATTTTTCAAAATATCTTGTGTATTTTGTGTTTTAAGGACATAGAAGTTTGGAACAACATGAGGGTGAGGAAATTATGACAGAATGTTCATTTTTGGCTGAACTATCAGTTTAATACATGAATTATATGATTTTTAAACTGAATTTGACATTACTACTGTTTACTACTCGTTTTTCTTTCTGCTTTCTAAATTCTAATCAGAAATTAACTGCAAAAGTTGTATACACCTTAACTTGGTTAGCTCTGAAATATACATTTGATAAAATCTCTAAAATGTTCCATGAGTCCCTAGAACCCCGTTTGAAATCCCCTGGTTTAGAGTACATGGCGTTAGAACCAGTAGTTGTTCATATTTAAAGACAGTCAGTATATAAAAAGACTATGCATGTACTTCAGGCAGAATTGGAAGTTAATGTGATGGTAATCACACTCTTGTGCTAGGAGATTTTAAGTGCTTTAGTGCAAAAGGGTAAACAGCAGACAAAGGGCATCACTATAGTAACAAAGCAGGTTTCAGGAGAAGGGACTTCTGTGAAGACGGCAGGAAAAGGTATAACGCAGGGAAGCAGCGTGATCTGCATAAAATGCTGTGATAAGAAGACCATTAGAAAAACATTAAGGAGAAACAAGCGGGTGGGAGGTGTTCAGACGTAAGTGTGCATAGTGTAGATTCAGGGTAAGACATTAGTGGATAATTGAATGATGCTTTGAATGATCATATGGTTCCGAGTCATGTTTGTTTATAGTTGTAATGTGAGATGAGCTTGTGCCACGATTGAGACATCAGACAGCAGACTTCCTCGAACAAGAACTGGCAAGATGAAGGGTTCCAGGGAACTGTGGGATGTGCATTTGAGCAGGAAGCAGCCATGAGATCTTGAACTCTTCTGACATTTAACACTGCTCCCAACTAATGCTCAGAAGCTGTGTGCATGTCTAAGTTCTCATTATGTTCAAGTTACTCACATGTGGTTTACTCTTCATCAGTCTAGAAACCAAAACAACAGAAAGCAGTGGGGAGTTACAGAAGTAACAGCAGGCGAGAAGCAAATCGATCTAAGTGCTTTCATTCATTTAACCGAATTTATCTTTATGCACAGGTTTATTTTCACCTAATTCAAGACTGTTGCGTGTTTTTATCTGGATGGTTGTCATGTTTTTTTTATATGTAATTGTACTTTAATTTGTTTTGTAAATCGGAACACTTTTATCACACTTTTATCACAGATTGTATATCTAAAAACACATTGTGTGCAATTGCTATGCTATTGTTGTAACTGCTTTCACAGGTATGATACATGTATACAATAACTGCTTCATCAAACATGTAAAAGTGTTTAAATAAATTCTTTCTAAAATAAATTCCATAGCTTATTTTGGGTTGTTTCCTAGCTCAAATTAGAACCCCTTTTTTAACCTAAAGTTAGGTAAATAGACCAAGATTGCCGCATGTGCCTGAAAACATGTTTGGCTAGCATTTAAGTAAATGCCCATTAAAGCCAGAGTAAATGGAGGTTCGTTAAAACAATTCAGTTTTTTCTCCCTTAGGGAGTGCATGAAAAAAAACATTAACATATGTAAACCTTGAATATGATGTTAGGCGCTTTGGATAAAAGCATGTACCAGTGCTTGTAAAGTTAAAGTAAATGTAAAATTAAACAGAGTACAGACTTCAGTACTACTAAGATATTCTGGTATCAGACAGCGCATCACAAAATGAACATCACTTGCAATGATGATGCTCCAATCAATATCCTCAGAATTATTGTGCCTAGAAGTTACTGACAATATCTGCAACCACTTGTTCCATATTGCATTTCTCTGGCCTATTGTGTTTATTATCTCCAACAACAAAGTACTTGAGCGTGATGTAATTTTGACTACAGAAGTGGGAAGTGGGGTCATTTCAAAACTATATTAAGGCAGAGTAATTATACTCTACATTGCACTAATGACAACATATGGCTTCATGTTGTTATCCCATGAAGTATTTATTGTTTAAATAATCTTTTAACACCATAAAATATTAATCTCAGTTCTTATGAGTACACAATTTGTTTGCCAAAAGAGTAGCCATGTAACTCATGTTTCCTAGGGTCAATTACTCCACTTAAAATCTAATTCGAGGAAATGAATGTAATGATTTTTTTTTTATGTGGAGGCCTAGATGAGGAAGCTCTGGGCGCAAACCACATAATAATTGAAATCAATAAAACAGAGTGAGCTAAACAGGTTTTATAATTGTATTCTGGCACAAGTTCCTTTGAGAATTTGGTGTTGTAGTTGTTGTTTCCTTCTGTATTCTTTTTAAACCAGCAAAGACCATTATGAACTGAGCTTGTTTTCTGAAGATCTACATTATAGCTGAATTGAATTTGTTTCATATTAATGAACTTTATGCAGTTATTGAACTGAATGGAACCAACACTGAACTGACTGGAGCTGAATAATGACATTATTTATTTGGATTTGCCTAATTTTTGAAGTTTGCATCATTGATTCTATTACTTTCATGTATAATACTGTGAATCTGCTTTGAAACAATCTCTGTTGTATAAAGTGCTATAAAAAAGGTATTCTCCGCACTCTGTTTCATCCTTCACAAGCAGCTCAGTGCTTTCGATTCATTTTGATGGCAAAATGTACATTGATCATTTTGTGACACTGATGTCTCTCTCCTCATTACCCTGAGGCACATGGGTGTAGAATATGCGGGGGACATTTCCATCCCCCTACTTTTGATAAAACGTGAATTTGCCCCTTGCATTTTTTTCAGTCAAGTGTGTTCACATAGAGGTTTTTCATGGGCAAGTGTGAATAAATCTAGATTTATATTCAAAGAGATGAGATAGTCAACTTGGAACGCTAAATACTATCATGCAGTGTATGCTTCATTCATACTCGAAGCCGTGATCTGCTTTTTCCTGCAGAAAGTCCAAGACGAATTTATAGAGGTAATAATTTATGACGTGCCAGGAAATCCCTAATATGGACAAAGACATCCAGTTATCGCTGTAGCTAAGCCGGATAAAAAAACTGAAATGGGGTTAGGGTATGTGGGCTGGATTAGCTCACTTCCAGAATAAAAATTTCCTGATAATTTACTCACCCCCATGTTATCCAAGATGTCTGTCTTTCTTCAGTCGAAAAAAATTAAGGTTTTTGAGGAAAACATTCCAGGATTTTTCTCCATATAGTGAACCTTAATGGGGATCAACCAGAGCCGGCCCGACCTAATAAGTTATATAAGAGGTTGCATAAGGCCCCGTGGCCTCCAAGGGGTCCCATGTCAGGGTTCAGATGGTAATGCTTGACAATAATAACTTTTATAAAGTTTCAGTTCCGTGTGTTAATGTTTGAAAATTAAGAGGCGGAACTATAAAACTGGTGCAGACTGCAGAGAAGTGGGAAAAGAAAGTGAGCAACATAAGGGTACGTGATGGATTTTGAAAATATATTGTTGAAATGACTTTTGCTGCATCGTGCTTTGAAGACGCGCTGTGCCAATGTAACAACAGCAATGAACATGAACGGTATTTTTGAGATATTTCAAGATATTGTTATCTTGGGCTCGTCAAAATACATCAGAATTATTATCAGAATGGTTTAGATTTTTAGAACGCATATATTATCTTATTTTCCATCGACCAGTTAAGTTTTACAACACTGTGCTGCAATTTTGCTGTGTAAAAGTTCGGTCAGATTTTCTCATTGATGTGAACAAAGCTGCAGACGTGCTGAATAAAAATGCAAGTTCACTCTGACAGGAGGTGGCGCTTTAGGAACAGCAGAAATACATCGTTACCATGGTTACCCCTGTACACAAAGCAGAACCACGCAAGTGCAACTTCTGACACCTGCTTGTTTGTCACAGAGGTCAAAGGAAGTCAAACAGTATTTACATGTTTTCAAACAGCCATTCAGATTTTTTAATCACTTTGGTGTTTATAACATAAATATTTAAATATACCATATCTTTATTCAAACATTTATTTACACTTATAAAACATGCCAGCCCAAAATAGATAATTTTGTATTATTATTTATAATAATAATAATAATAATAAAAAAATAATAATAAAAAAAA